TGTCATATTTTGATTATTGTTTGCATAAGTCATTATAAATCAATTATTTGTTGTTTTGTTTTTTGTAGTTGATTTCAGAGACGATCAATATTTCTGGCTGATAGTGATTAGTTTTCTTTAATTAATTTTTTTAGCTGATATACTTATTTATCTATCACTATAAGGGCCGATTGTTTTATCTTTTAGTAAATTTTACCTGTTGGACCAATAACAAGATTACCCAATCACATGCGTGGATTGCCAGATTTACCTAATAGGTAAAATTTACCAAAAGGTGGAACAACCGGCTCTAAAAATATCCAGTTTAAAATAGTAATTTAAAATAGTAATTTAATTAATAAATAAAATGTTAAGCACTGTTAAATAAAATACTGTTAAATTAGTTGTTAAATAATACGTATAATACATATATATGAAATATCAGCTTAATGGGAGATACTGCACTCGACATTATCTCAAAATAGCAAAACAAACATACATTTAAAAATCTCTAACTAATGATTCTTTAATCTTATATAAGGAAACGAATCTCTAGCTAATGATTCTTTTATCTCATATAAGGAAACGAATTTTCTTGTTAAAGTACAGAGAATGACTGCATACGGCAGAGAAAGCAGCTTTGCAACTATTGTAAAATTCTTCGATACGATATATATTTAGATCCATAAGGAATCAAAAGTAAGAACTAATCGTATTGAAAAATTTTACAACAGTTGCAAAGTTGCTTTCTCTGCTAAATGCAGCTAATGTCAGCATCGACATCTGACTTTGTTACAAATGCTTCAAAGCATTTTTTAATTGGCCAATTAGTAAAATTCTTCCTTTGGATTAGTCAATCAAACGCTAGGAAATTTTATAGCGTTAAGTAGACCGCTTTCTACATACATAGTATAGAAACTCCGTATTTCGGAGCCACTGTCACTGGCCGCTGGGAATGCTGGGATCCACCTCCGATCAGCTGATATTTCCGCACGTTTGTTTTTCAGCTGACTCGTCCCCGGAAATCGGCGATTCGTGCGGGGTTAAAGAGGGGATGGAGCTCCGAACAACGGGATTTGTTGGACTATATGAATTGTCGGCATCGTTCACTTGACGGTCGGTGCTCAACGCACAAACAGTATATTACGACAGCAGCCTGAAGAAATTTATCTAATACGCTCGAACGAGCGTTGTTCATCATCGTAATCAACAGAACGGCGTCAGATATATTATATTCTTCTTCGTTGTATGTAACATGACTGTTCGATGTACTGTTAATAGTTTTCCGAGCATAAATTGAGCTACATCTAATCGAGCATAATTGCAATGGATAGCGTGATAGTGAGTAGATTCTAACCTCGTAGACCATGCGCGTTCCTGTGTATTTTCATACACCGTAATCTTTGTTGCACGGATAATCGGTATCTCAACAGATTTCTCCTCTATCACCGTAAACAAATTAAAAATTTCTTTCTTCTTGATAATAGAAATAATTTTTATAAAATCGTAACAATAAATTTAGATAAGCATTTTTTTTTAGTAGAAGTTATTTGATCGTTATCTTTTTATTCAATTTTCACTGAAATTGATAACTGAGTTTTGAGTTAAAATTTTTTTTAACTAAAGTCTACTCAAAATTAATTGTACAATAAAATTTTTTATTTGGTTTTAATTGCTTGTTATTTTGTTATTATCTGATTATGAAAATATGTGGCATTGGAAAGTAAAATTGTATTAATCATATTTTTGTAAAATCATAATATTTAATAAAATCATTATTAGAAGTTAATTCAAGATTATATTTTTAAATGCATTTAAGATAATAAATATTATATATGATAATAAATTTTAACTCTTGTTATTATATGTAATTAAATTAATTTTTTATTTTCAGGGAATAATTTATGCAATATGTCGAGGATTTGTAGACAGCTTGAAAGGTACCATTGTACTTTTCTACATGGATAAGCAAATTAACGAGAAATTGGTTGAGAAAACTTCCAATCGAGCAGAGCTTAGGAAGAGAGATGTAGTTATGTCAAGTCCCTCCAAGCATAAGCAACGGTCCTTATTATTTACAAGAAATGTTTATGAGAGACGATTTTAATAACAAAACTTATTAGTCCATTCAATTTTAGGGAATCTAAGGTGTTGAGAAGAACTCTACAATGTTGTGCATTGAATGGTGGAGTGTTTTGGGCTAGTATACTGATATTCGATTTTGGACTTCTGCCATTTGTTAAGTACTTATTGACTGTTATATTCGGCCATTCTCCTGGTATGGGTCTTACTGTATGGTCATGGATCCAGCCATTTCTATCTCTTACATTTGGTACAATATGGGTGCTACCACTGTTCTTACTCAGCAGAATAGTTAACAGTTTATGGTTTCAGGTATAGTTTTTTATAAAATATAAAAAATGATTGATTAAAACACTGAAAATTATATTGGTCTGCGATAAAAAATTGCGATAAAACAATATTTTTGTTTGCTGAACATGAATTTATTTTTTCAAAATTGTGACTAAATTTAGAAAACGGATTCGTGTTTAGCATCTAAAAAAACTTACGAGAAATGATTGCGTTTGTTGATTCGTTCTGTTAATAACCCTAAAATGTAAATTTGCAGACTAATATTACCACATCCATGTATAACATAACTAACACGATGTATTTGCAAATGTATATAGGACATAGCCGATAGTGCTTACAGATATAGACAGGGGAGACCATTGCTTCTATCAAGTGTAAGCAAATTGATAGCTGACACGCTTTTTAGCGTATTAGTTCAAGCATTATTCTTGGGACAAGGAATGTTGGTGTCTAAAGTCCCACTTCCGCCATTAGGGGACATTCTTGCCCTTGTCCACATGTGCCTTTTATATGCTCTCTATGCCTTCGAATACAAGTGGTTCAACATGGGTTGGGAATTGCATAGACGATTGACTTTTATCGAAGGCAATTGGCCATACTTTTTAGGCTTTGGTATGCCATTAGCAGTACTTACTCAAATGCCCAACTCGTACTTTGTAAGGTACAAAATAATTCCTACAATTGTTATCTTCTAAGTAACGATGTCTTTAATGTTTAAAGATAGATACCTATTTTTATTTAGCCAATTAAAAATCTCTTAATAATTAAACTCCAAAAAAGTTAATATTAAAACTTATTATTAATAATTTTTCTTTATCATTTTTTTATCATTAATACAAATATGATGAATAAAATATATATTCATGATATAATTGAAACTGCGATAATTTTATAAAACTCATGAATTTATAAATAATTTTTTATTTTTTCAGTGGCTGTGTTTTTTCCATTTTATTTCCACTGTTTATTGTAAGTGGAAACGAAGCAGAACCTGTAACTGGAGTATGGTATATTTCTTTTATATTATAAAATATATATTTTGATATTATTTATGATATTTATAATCATGATTTAAATAATTGTTTCAGTGATTGCCAGCTGAAATTATTTTCTCCAGTAATTGCAATTGCAAATATGTTATTTAATAAAACTATCGGACGGGTCAATAAGCGGTGATAGTAAAAACAAAACGGAAGAATAAATGCCTAATTTATTTGCATATTAGGATATGCATACCATTTACCAATTTGTTACAGAAAAGCTCATATGTGCATTAGTAATAATTATATAAAATAATTATAAAAATATTTGGGTATCTTGTTCGTTCTTGCAGGAAATAGTATTAATTTTATTATTAGACAGATTACAAAGTGTTCATGAAGAATGCAAAAGGGATAAATTAATTTTTTTTATTAAATAAGATTATATATATAGTTAAACTATAAATTTTTTATATTTCTTTTTCTACTGATCTATATGAAATATGAAAAGAATATTTAATCATTTTTTAATTGAAATGTAAGACCAATCAGTACAAATATTTATTTATGCATATGTAATAATGCATATCTAGCTTAATTCGTACATACGATTTCCTGTATTTAATAGTATCACCGGTATACAAACGATATTACAAACCTGACTATATTTCTCAATTTTTATGAGAATTCATATTTTGAGCTTTTTATGCTGTAACTAGTCATTTTTCAATATCGATTTGAGATCTCCCATCGGCGCTGTGCTATAAACGTATATTATAAGCATGTGCTGTAAAAATGATGCACTGTGTATGGCAGTTGATATATTTAAAAAATTTAGTGATGATATAATCTAATATATAGAGTAGTTAAAAAATATTACTCCAACATTAAGGTAATTAATAATACAATGCTACCATATATGATTTTTATATTCTTCCTTAGGAGTGTTGTATTTGAAAAAATTTTTTTAAATTTAAGGATTACATTATAGATAAGCGCCAATAGAAACATCTCGATTCTCAATCAATCTATTCTAATTATATATATACATATATGTATATATATATTTATATTGTGCCATACATATCAATTATAGAGGATTCGTCCAAAAAATTCATGTAAAGTAAAAACTATCATAATTGTATGATAAATATTAAAATAGCTA